CCTAATTCTAACCCTAAAAAAATGCTAAAAAAATGCACCCCAAAATTTGTATTTTTCGGTGGCTTGTCTATTTTACACTATTGCATATTTCATTTTAATCTGATTTCATTTTAATCTGTCACATTTATTAGTCAAGATTAAAGATGCTTGACAAAATTATTTTTGAGTTGACGAAAGGTGTCATCAAATTACATACCAGATAAAACTATTGGTGATTGATAAAACTGTTGACAATTGACAAAACACCTGACGATTGATAAAACCCTGATGAAACTTCAGATGGTTGAGAAAACCTTTGTTGAAACTTTGACAAGCTAACTCAGCAACAGAAACAAAATTGTTTGTTACTCTCAACAAATTTCTCTATAATGATCTCTGGATAGACAAATCTTAAATATTTTCTAAAGTAATATCATTCATTATAAATTTTTATAAGTGATATTATAAACAAAAATATTAGAATAATTTATTTCATTATAAAAGAAAGAAATAATTATTTTATTAAAGAGTAAATTTATTTGTCACCGGTGGTGACAGTCACCAGAGTGTGATCGACCAATTAGATCACAGGATCATGTGTAATGTGAAAAATATAAAAACTTGATTTTTTTAAAAAATCGCTATTATCTCATAATTTAGTCTATAAAACCACATTTTGCATTCTAACAAAAAAAATTCTTTGCAAATTTTACTATATGCCAGTGTTGTCATCAGACACAGACACAGATATAGACCAGACCAAACCGGACATCTGTGTCTATGTCCAAAGATAGACAATGTTTGGCAGACATTGTCTAATGTTTTTATTAGATTGACCAATCAAATACTTGGACATTAGACAATCACGAACCAAGCGTCGCCCAAAAATCTGTTACATTTAAACTCAATTAATTTTATTGTTCTGATAATTCAATATGTATTACGTATTGATTTGTAATATTTACTTTGATTTTATTTTGATTAACTATCAATAACGATTATAATTAAAAGTTTTTTTTTTTTACCTACAATGGATTCTTTATATTGCACATTATGCAGAAAATACAAATCACTAGAGATTTTTTATGAAAACAAAAAAACTTGTTCTGAATACCTAGCACATAGTAAAGAAAGTAAAAAGCAAAAATATGAAGAAAGTTTTACTTTACCTGATTTTAAAGAAAATTTTATTGATGTCAATGACATTACTGATGTAATTTATAAGGCCTTGCAAATGTAGAGAATATCGATGAAAACTTCAAAAATAATAATGAATTTTATTTTGAGCAAGCAATTAAACTGGATACTTTAACTAATGATATTCCATTAGATATTGAACAAAATAAACATGAACATTACCTTGCCAAGAAAATTGTTAACTATGTTGAAAAGGAGGATGGCTATGATTATATATATCATACCAAGACTACTTCACAAAAAACAAATATAAAAACATTTTATTACTGGTGCAATTGCTGTAAAATAGACAAGCCACCGAAAAATACAAATTTTGGGGTGCATTTTTTTAGCATTTTTTTAGGGTTAGAATTAGG